AGAAAGAAAGAAAAAGAGAAAGAGAGAAGGAGAGAGAGAGAGAGAGAGAGAGAGAGAAAGAAACAAGTGAGCTGGGTCTCGAGGCCTGGCCTTCACCGCAGCTGGCATGATACCACAAAGCCTTCAGCTATCTTCTGATCTCTACAACCAGTGTCCTCTCCAAAAGACTAGATCTCCAGGAGCCCAAGAGGTTATAGACCTAAACCATTCATCACCCCCAAAAGAATACTTCCTAGAAATAGAAATGGATTCAGAAGGGATTTGGGCAAATCTGTGAATGACAGAGCAGCCATAAATAGCTACTAAGAGAAGCTGGGCGCCACCTGACCTTTAGGATTGACGTCAAAGAAGATAGCTGTAGCCTCCTATGGTGGCATCTCAGGGACAGGGTTGGCAACCAAAGACTAGGTCAGATGGACCCGACCCAAAATGGCAATGCACATGTTCTTATATGGCCTGGCATGGAGCACCCGGAGCTGTGAACTAGAAGGCAAGCTGAGTTCCTGGCCCTATCCGTTTATAACTATGTGACCTTGCACAACATCACTTAATGGCTTCAAAGCTCATTTCCCTTGTCTATAAATTGGGGCTGATAATGGCCCACAATCTCTTATCCAAAGCCCTGGGGTGCTTCAGAAATCCAAATTGTTCATGTTTTAGAAAGGAATTATGGGACTGATAGTGTTTGCCCAGTTCCACAGGAGTCTAAGGAAGTGCTCTGTAATCAAACACATTAATATTTTTGCAGCAAAACACATGAATATTCAAAATACACAGGATAAATATAGCCTCACATTAGTTCAGACCAAGTTTTGTCACTAAATGAGCTTGCTGAAAACTTAAACAGAACCTATCAGCTTTCAAAGCTTTTCAGACTTCAGAATCACAAATACAGAATGACAAACCTGTATCCCCTTTGGGAAGGATGTGAGATTAAGAAAGATAAAGTCATTAAAGATGCTCTACAAAGGAGAAAGTGCTGCAACTGATAAAAGGCATAAGTAATATTATTGCTGTTGCTAACATGATTCCACAGCATACTCATTTCCTCACAGAACTGAGTTTGACCTCACAGATGCCTAATGCTGGCAGGGACCAAGAGTTCAGAGCAACTTCTAAACTCTCAAAAATGGCCAAAAATCAAGGTCAGTGGCTACTGGCCCTCTATATGGTCAACCACTGAAAACAGAGCAGCTGGCCACCTGAGAGAGACCAAGGCAAAGGGCCAGGCAGAACTCAGACATCTCAACTACACAGCTCAGACTGGGTCCAGGGAGCTGGCCAGAACCACTCCTTATGGTTCTTGAGCATCCAGTCAAGAACCACACAAGAGGTCCTACTCTGTGTGTGCAGAACACACACTGCAGCTGTTCTGAGGGTTTGTCTGTAGAAGACCCAAAGCTCCTGGGAAACCAGACCCCATTCTGATCTTGCAGCACTGAATTGGCCTGCAGGAACATATTATGACCAGGCTGTATGAGCCTAGGGAGACAGAGGGCTATAAATGAGGACTATGTTCACACTGAAGTCAACCATATGGTTGGCTCTCTGTAATCTTGTCACATGTGTATGTAACTCTTGAGAGTGAGAAAGTGCACCTGGCCCATTTGAGCAGGTCCCTAGAGCAGTAGATCCAGACAGGCTTGTGTGGAGAACTGCTCCAGCCTTTCAGAGAGAGAAAGGGAAAGAAGAGAGACTGAGCCTAGAGTCCAGTCTTCCAGAAGCTTAATATGACCCTCCCAACATCACCCTCCCTCTCAGTCATCATCTTCTATAACGTGGGCCTATGCAGGTAGGTATTGGGGTCCAGAGCTTGCTCCTCCACCTACCTGGAGAATGCTACTGATCAGACATTCCAACTGTTATGATTTCTTCTGGATCCTTTAGGTGAGTAAGCCCCATTTGATTTGCTCAAGTAGTATCTTTGACTGGTTTTTCTGTCAATCCACAATACCTCTGACATTGCTTTTACATCTCAATGTGCACTACAGGGACGATGACTTAGGGCTAAGTTTCATTCCAACTACCTATTGTGCCTACAGGCTCCTCTCTCACCAGCTCGGAGACAAGTCATGAAGAAACCTATTGATGGGACTCCATAACTAACTCTCCTTCCTGCATTACTTCCCAGTGCTCTCCCCTTCCTTCCTCTCCATGCCCTTCTGCTCTCCAAGAAAGCAGCAGTAACTGCAAGGCACTTAGCCTTTACCAACACTCTAGCCTGCAGACTTAGAAATGAAACCTATAGCCTGTTATTTCACCATGTTCATCACTGTTACATTTAACCAATTCCATAGTCTCCTGATGTCAAAACCTCCAACTCTGATGATTTTGTCTTGGCTTTTTGTTTTCACTGGTAGCTGGGATGTGGAGGGAGGAACAGAGAACAGCATGAAAGAGGTAAGTAGCCCCTTAATCCAGGAGATTTGAGGGAGAGGGAGAGAGACAGGGAGGAGGAAAGGCCTCCCACAAAGTGCTTCTGATCAGGGGCCAAGGGACTGCCAGTATGAGCGAGGGCCGAGTATGCACAGGAACATTTTGTCCCCTCCTTGATTTCTTTAGACCCTTAGAACTTTCCACCTAAGGCACTGCCCCAGGCTCCAGTTTCTTGGGCTGTAGCAGCTTACTTTCCACCCTCAGTAAAAAGCACATTCTCCAAATCAGCAGCCCACAGCGTGACACCAAGGATTCCAGGACCACAAAGACAGAAACATTCTCTGCAAAGCCCAATGGCCAACACAACCACGGTGGAAGGCAGCTCTATGGCCACCATGCACTAGAACTTGGAGCCAATTGGGGTTATGCTGAGATGAAACCCAAACAAGATAGGGGAGAGAGGGTTAGTTCTTCACTTTCATTATGTGCCAGTCACAGCTCTAGGGGCTTCTATCAATAGATATTGTTTCATTAATTCAGCACGCCACCATGCTGACGACCTCCATTTTAAAAAGTGTAAAACAAGGCCCAGAAAGGTTACATAACTACCCTGAGCTCCAGTTTCACCACCCCTGCTCTGTGGAGCACCGCACAGCCAGCTCTCAGCCTCGCCGCAGAGGACTGAAGGTCCCACAGAATGGGAGGGTGATCATAGAACCGCTGGGAGGGTGACCACTTTTGTAGCCCTCTCAGGTAAAGACAAGCAATCAGAACCTGAGGAGAGCCAGAAAAAATGTACTTTCCACTACAGCCCATTTCCCATAGTTCGTAACTGAAATAATTCACATCCGGAGAAGATGATAAGCCTACCTGCTCAACTTTGGGGAGGGGGTTTCCTCTTTAGGAAAGTCTGAGCAAAAACAAACACTACCTCAATCCATTTCTGAGCTGTATAAGCATCAAGACACACCTTAGTGGTGGTTGTTTTTCGCACCCGCCAGAAAAAAAGTCGGCTACATTTAGCTCAGCAGCACTTTCCACAATGTAAGTAAGTCTCAGAGCCACCGATTAAGCACTGTCGGAGCAGGTTCCGGCTCAGCTTGGGGCAATCAGACAAATCTCCAGATGCCTCCCCTCTGCCCCACACCCTCGGTTACATCCCCTCCTGTACAAATGAGAAATAGAGGGAAGGGGTAGACAGAGAGGGGTGCAAAAGTGGAAAATCCCCCAAGATCAGCCAAGATGACATACTAGGAAATGTCATCACAATGATAACAGAAACTGGATTTCTCAACACTATTCATCAGACCAAAGGACTGGAGGGTAAAATGATGGGCATGTCGTTATGACAGATGCAGGTGAACCTAAACCCATTACTGATTTCCTCTGAATTTACTCCACTTCTGATGAGCAATTTCTAAAGCCCTCTGTTGTACAGGCACGATCCTCTTCAGCAAAGTGCAAGGGGGTTACAACCTGACTTTGAATACAGCTCTGACTCCTACTTTCTCTGTGATCCAGATAATGGTCTCAGTATCTCCCCACATTAAAAAAAAAAAAAGGACATTGCCTATCTGAGAGGGTTGCTGTAACAAAAATGTAACTCCATGTAAAGCAAGTATTGAACCAGACATGCCAAAAGACAAAGGTGTCAAACTCATTTTTACTGGGGGCCACATCAGCCTCGTGGTTGCCTTCAAAGGGCCAAATGTAATTTTAGGACTGTATAAATATAATTACTCCTCAACAAGGGGCAAGGAGCTTGGCATTGCTGCTGGGTAGAAACAAGGTGCCAGGCTGGATAAAACAAGGTAGAGGGCCGGATTCAGCCCATGGGCCTTGTGTTTGCCACCTGTGCTATAAGAGCTCAGTGGATGGTTATTTTACATAGAAGGAGACAGAGGCCAGAGGGATGCCAGTGCTGGACTGAAGTGGCATTAATTCAATGTGAGCAGAGGTGGGAGAAGAATATGGCTCTGCAGGCTGCAAAACCCACTCTCATGCCCATCCTTCCTCTAAATTTAAATCAGCTCCTTCTGAATGTGTTTGCAGGAAAAGAGTAAGAAGGGAGAGGGGAAGCCACACTCCTGGTGATGAATGTTCACCAGGAATGATGTTCATTCAGAACCTGCAGCTGCTCTTGTGGCCTAAGCAGCACCAGCCCCTCCCACCCTCCTAAGCTGCAGCGGGCAGGCCTGCCTTGGCAGGACCCCACTGATGGGAACCTGGGTACCTGAAACCTGGCAACATGGCCAAATCTAGGCTGTGGGAGACCTTCGTCCTCAATCCCACTTTCTCTCCTCCCTCCATCCACTTTATTAGTCACTCCAGACAAAGGAGAACAAACCCAACAGCAGAACAAGCAAATGGGAGCCCAACAGCAGAAAGAGGAAAGAGCCTAGTAAGAACCTGGGCCCATGGGTTCCCCAGTGCTTAGGAAAGATCCCAGCACCCTTACCACACTTAAAAAGCATACCCCCAACTCCAGGTCTTAGAAAGAAGTGGTATTTTACAAATAGCAGGGAGGGACAGGCCCCAAGCCTCAGGAGCAGCCAGATACAAAGGCAGGGTACCAGGGCCAGCAGTTGGGCCTGGATGTCAGGTGGGACCAGTGAGGGACCTACCTGTGTTGCTCCACAGCCTCGTTGTCAGGAAGCTCCACCCCACACACACTGCACTGCTCCCCGATGGTCCGGCTCTCCGACTTCATGCCCACAGCCAGCTCACCCAACTTGTTGAACAGCTCCCTCTGGATGAAGCCCTGTGGCAGCAGACCCCCATAGGTGCTGAAGTCCATGGAGACAGCCAGAGCAGGCTGCATGTGGAGGCCAGAGGACACTGAAGACGGCATGCTCAACACAGAGTCAGCCTTATGGTTGGGCAGCACAGAGTAGATGCCCAGATGTTTCTCAGCTGTGGGCGCCGGGTGTTCCAGTCGGCCCGGGGGACCCTGACCAGCCTCAGCTGGGGGTGGCAGATGCTCAGCACTCTCCTCACGCCCATAGTGCAGCTCCCTAGCACTAGTGATGACGCTGCTCCGAGTCGGGGTCCCAGGCCCCTCTTTGCCCCTTTCCTCAACCTTGTCCCCCATCCCACCTGAAATGCTAGACTCAGCTGTCCCAGGGCTATCCTGGCTGGGCACCTCATCCACCTGCATCATCTCCGTCTTCACCTCAGCCACACCAGGGTGCCGCCCACCCCCAGTCAGAGTCGGCTCTTCAGGCCCCGCAGGCGACTGAAGAGTTCCCTGCAGGAGAGACTGTCCTATGGTCATCAGACTGTCCACTGCAGCCTTGGTGGGACTCATGGCTGAAAGACCAAATGAGGTGGAGACTGACGGGCTCTGGTCCGCCATGGGCCCAGGGAGGCTGTGCGCAGCCACACTGGCATAGCCACTCTCCTCACTGGAATGCTTCGAGATGAAGATGTTCTTGAGGTACCGAGCCTTGCGGTCCTCTTCTTCCTCTGCCCCACCATCTGCCATGGTGGCCTCTGTGTCATTGTCATCTGTGGCCTGAATAGTCTCCAGGATCTTCAGGCACTGCTCTTCCAGGTACTCGATCTCCAAGATCTCAGCCGCATACAGCAGGTCATCCAGGTCCTCCGCCTTGGCTTGCAGTGTGGCCGTGTATGCATACTCCAGAATCTGCTGGAAAGTCTTTGGGGAGAGGAAGTCCAGAGTATAGTGCTGGCTGTTGCGGTGGAAGAGGATCTCAAACATCTTGCTGGTGCAGGCCAGCACAGTCCGGTGGGCATGGAACTCCTGGCTGTCCACCATGATGACCACATCACACAGCGTCCCGGCCAGCCGCATCTGGTTGGCCTTGCACAGGAGCCCCGTGGGGTGGCTGGGGTTCTGCAACTGGATCATGCCCATGTTTGTCAGATCCATGGTGCTCCCTGCGGCTTAGGCATGAGGCTCTCTTTCCTTCCTGGCTCTGCGTGGTGGGGCAGGGTGGGTTTCCTGGGCCAATGCAGAAGGCTAGAGAGGAGAAAGGGGAAAGATAAAAAAGAGATGGCAGAACAAAAGGTAGATTAGTCAGTGTCCCTAAAAGCAAGAATTCAAGCAATACAACATAGCACCCAGCCCTCAGTCAGCCAGCAAGAGAATCCTGGAGATTTTAATGGAGGGAAAGGGGGCTTCCTAAAAGTCTGGGAGTCTGCCTTTAAAAATCCACAACTGAGAGCAAAGAGAATTTTCTGCCATTACCTATGCCTAATTCACTGTTAGGTGAAGTAAAATGAATATTACTGGGGAGTCTTCTGACTCTTGGCCTTTCTGTAAGTCTAAAAGTGGGGGCAGGGGGAATCCAGTATGTTATGAGGAAGTGCCCAGCACTTACTGAGAATTAGTAAAAATTGAACCCCTGCCTTTAGTCAATTTAAGCACTCAATTTCCCTCACAGCCCCTTATGCAGCCACCTTCATCTTCAAAACAAAGTTGTCTAAACCCTGCTTCACTGGGGTAGCCCCAAAAGTATCATCAAGCCTAGCTGGGCTAGCAGCCTGTTCCCTGGCCCACAGAAATCTATGGGCAAGGGCTCTCCTCCTCCAGGCCCATCCTCTCACCACCAGCCAACGTCATCATGGCCTCTGTCTCCCCACTCTTCTCAGCTCTGCAAAGGGCTGACAGACACTGACCCCCCTTTTAGACACTAACAGGAACACATACACATCACCCACACATTAGCTTGGATCACTTCCATCTACAGGTGACTCAAAATTATTGTATGTGTGATCCAAAATCTGAACTGTGAGTGCACATTCATGTGCTTACACACCAACCAGAGAGGGAAACAGAGTTAACATATGGGTGCACACTTACATAATATGCTGCACTTACCTCCTGTCCACAAGTGCCCAATGGACAGAAGGATCTATAAAATGTAGAAGAACAGGTCATGGAGGATCTAAGAAGAGAGATCATAAGAAACAGGCACCCCTGCTGCCAGGAGTGTACGTGCTAGGAACATGACCTCCAAGTGTGCCCCACAGGCTCCCAGGAGTGGTCAAGTCCTATGACCAGGCGCAGCAACTGATGCGGGACATTGCTCCCAGGTGCTAGAAATGATATTGGCACCAGCATCTATGGAGTGAGTTATAACTAGTATGAAGGGAAGATGGGGCTGGGAGACAAAGGCCTCTCCCAGAGTGCAGTTCAGGATCAATAACAAGGCTCTGGGGCTCCTGAACCTTTTGAAGAGTGTTAGAACTCACAGGCCCAGTTCCCTCCCAGCCTCTGTCTTGTTGTGGTCAATATTGCAGCGAAATGAACTAGGAGCAAAGCTGAGCAAGAGTTCTTCCCCACTCTCCCAACGCTCCCTGCTTCTGCCCTCTGAAGAAGCCGCATGGATTCCAGAGCCACAAATCTCTTGCAGAAAAAGGTAAGAGTATGGCTAATCAAGACACTTTTGCCGCCCACCCTGGTATGAGGACTGAGGCCACCAACAGTGGGACGGCCATTCATCCCGGACTTGCCACTATTTGCTTTCTCGCAGACTTCTGGGTTTCAGAGAACTAGGAGGGAGCAACGGAAAGAATGGAAGCTGGGCTACCTGGATTCCTTCCCAAAAGCAAACTCCTTGGGTCCTAAAGGAAATCAGGATGCCCTTGGTCAGCCATCACCCCGACCCACACAGCTCAGCGCCGGGATCCGGACAGTGCTGGCTGCACCGCCCAGCCCAGCGGCAAGGGAGAAAGCTGGCAACAACTCGCTCCAGCTCCAAGGATCGATGGCACTCTCACACACCCTACTTGCCAGCCACCCCCATGGAGACTTGAATGTGACTTTAGCAAACTTAGAGAGGCAACTTCTCCCGGGGAGCCAGACGGTAAAAGGAAAGGGAGCCGGACACTGGAAGAGGAAAAGCGAAAGAGACTCAGGCGAAAAGCTAGAGTCGTGGCAGGCTGGGCGCCTAGGCGAGAGCGACGAGGAGGCGGACCGGCCCCACGGCGAAAGGGAAGCACAAAAGCCCCATCGAGACTTGTGGGAGAAAAGGCTAGAAAAAATCCCAGGGCCCTCCCTCTCCGACCCAGGGCCGTGATCCCCGGGAGCCCGGGCAGGATCTCCCGCCTCAGGCCGGCGCCGCCAAGCAGCCGAGTGCCCGGTCCAGGCACCGTGCGCGAGTTCCGGGGAACACACTAGTGAGTCGGTACAGAGTGCGTCTGTGCGTTCCAGCAGGTCTGCGGGCCAACGAGACCGTGCGCTTTTCGAACGCCCGCGGGAATGTTCCAGGGGCTGCTCGAAAGAGTTCCCCGCGCACCGGGGTGGGAAAGGCATCCCGAACGCATCAGGTGCAGAGCCAGGCACCCGAGTGCGACCGGTAGCGCACAGCGAGCTCCGGCGTCACGGCCAGTCACCTCGAGAGCCGAAGAGGGCCCGGAACCCTCAAGACCCTCCGGAGCTCCACCACGGCCGCCCCCCTCTCTTAAAAAGAAGGGATCAAGTCCAATCAAGAATGAAAAGGGGGGGGGGGGGCTCACAGCGTTTTTCAAAGAAAAACAAACCCAAGCAAGTCCCAGTCTTGCTCCCCTTCGCCCCCAGATGCACTCTTCTGATCCTCTGATTCTAGCTTCCCAGCCGGCCAGCGAATAAACACACAAACCACCACCCTATCTCGCGCCCGCGCACCGGTCCGCATACATATGAGCACCCACCGGCTCCTAGCTCCTCCGTCGGCCGCCAGCGGTACAAAGCCTCCGGGTCCCCAACCTGCCGCTCCAGCCTTCAGTCCCCGCAGACTGCGCTGCCCCCAACTCTCACCCCGACCATGCCCTGGAGTGGAAGGGTTGCGGTGGCAGCTGTGCCCAAGCTGACAGCTGGGGCTCCTCGTTCTAGCTGACCCCCAACTGATAGTGGCAACGGCTACAGCAGCAGAAAGGGAACAAGCCGAAAAAATAAGGCACAAGCCCAGCGGCCGAGTGGCCGAAGAGAACTCGCCCCCCAGACCTCTCCAACCCAGGGGCTCTTCGATGCGCGGCTTTGGTTGGGCGGTGCACACCTCCCGGGCCCCCCACTCACCGCTGCCTAGCCAGGCGCTGTGGGGTGGGTGTGCGTGCCTCTGGGGGGAGAGGGGGTGTGCCAGTGTCGGGGAGGGGTGTTGCTGGAGAACTGTTGCTCTCGGTATCACGGCTGCAGCGGCGGCATCGCCCGGCAGTTCGCAGTACCCGCTCTCATCGCCCTCAACTCCTCTCTGCTGCGAGGTTAGCAAATCACCACCGGCTTCGGTGCCTCCGCCGCGTCTCACGTCAACGCTGAGCCCCCTCCCCTGCGAGGCCCCGGCGCCTCTCCATCTTTAGTGCTGGCGGCTGAGCCGGGCTCCCTGCCCACAGCTACCCCCCCTTCCCTCCACCCTCCCACCCAGTCCTCTGGCTCAGCCCGCCCACAAACCCCCCTATTCCCCTCACCGCTCTCCCCACTACCCCCCACTCCCCCACTCCCCCCCCGCGCAAGCCACTGGCCGAGCCGGCGCACGCTCCCCGCCCCACCCATTCCCTCCCCTCTCCTCTCCTCCCCTCCCTTCCCCTCCCTTCCCGGCGCGCAGCGCTCCAGGCTTCGCCTGACATCTAGCTGCTGCTGGGGCGCCAGCGGTCACCGCTCACTGGCCAAGCGGAGAGGAAAGAAGGAGCTCATGAAGAAGAGTGCCAGGGACTCGGAACCCTTAGTGGCGGTGGCGGAGTTGAGGTGTGGGGAGCAGCCTCCACCTTTAGCTCCCAGGTTTTTACTTTCCTCTGGACGGGGTTTTTATTTCCCCTGCTTCTCCAGGAGCGGAGTTTTGTCCTTGGCTCCAATATTTGCCCCAATTCAGTGTGTATCATCTCGCCTTTCACTTTTGCTCCGGGCTCAGGGCTGCAACCTCTGTACACCGAAGGTCAGTTTTAGATAGTCACTTTCCCAGCCCTAGCTCAGGCCTTCTGTGACTCCCTGTGCAATGTGCCCCTGGGCGATGAGTAAACGAATTGCGAGAAGTCCCCAGGCGCAGGATTCGTGGGCTCTGTAAACCAAGTAGAGAGGGTCCACGGGAATTATCGCTGGAGATGGTCGCCCTGTTTTAGCTGTCTCAATCCCTGGGAGTTGAGGTGGAAACCTAAAAAAAACTTTTCATCCCTCTCAGTCTTAAACGCGTCCTCGTCTTAACCCCAAAGGAACCTGGTTGGAAGCAGTTCCCGAGAACTGGGCCCTGTTCAGCGTAGTCTACAGGGGGCAGTGAAAACTTACACAAAAGCTCCAGACCCCCCAAAGTGCCTCCCCCTCTCAGCTGGCTGCTCCACTTTAGAGTGGAGATCACTAACCTCGGGGTAGAGCACCAGAAGAAATCTGCCCTTCCTCAGCAGTGGGAAACCCCTCTTGGAGAGTCCCCTTCTGCTCCCTTTCTCCGGAACTTGGCGACAGTAGGGGTCAAGAGGTGGAACGTGCTCTTCTGGGTGCAGGCTGTGGTGGCCAACTAACCTTCAAAAGCATAGTGGTGGGATATCTGAACAAGGCCCTGATGTCACAGTCTTAGGAACGCCGGGTTTCAAACATGGAGTCCTGAGTCTCCACATTCTGTCCGACACGCGGGTGCGTCAAAGGTTTTCCTCAAGACTCACATGTAATCACGTCCGGATGTGTGCCTCTGGCACTGCCCCAGGCGGAGAGTCAGGCCCCAAACACTGTAGGGTCATGGAAGTTGGCAGAAGCCAACTAAAGGGGGAAAGAAATCCGCTTCCAGCTGCGAAAAGCCAGAAGACAAAATTTACAAATCAGAGCTGATCTGGGTTCCTAAGAGCTGCTAATGGGGTAGTCCCAAGGACAAGCAACTCCATCCCAGCAAGCATCGCTCCCGCCTCCTGCTCCCAGGGAAAGTGCTGGGACCTGCGGGAGTCCAGGAAAAAGAGTGGACGGCAGAGGGCAGAGAAGCGCACTTGGAACTGCAACACCTACCTGATGCACAGGAAAGCCCAGGCCCTGGGTATTCCTTTGGATCAATAAAGACGATTTTCTAGCTAAGGTCTATGCAGTCTGTAAGAACAAAGGGATTTAAAGAAAGTTAAGAAAACTGGTCTGCAAAGAGAGGAGAAAAGACCCTCCTAATGCTTCACCAGGGAAATAGAAAATCATTAAAATGACTGCATTTCAGCCTAGATGGTGCCCGCTGAAGGTTGCTGCCTCACTGTCCACATCCACTACCAGCCCCTCCCAAGTGCAGTAATAGGAGAAGCACACAATTAGCCCTTGGTCCTAATCTCCTATTAATCCTCAAATCAGAGGAAGAGAGAATCTCTGGAGACAATGGGAGAGAAAGAACAATTCTTCTATAGTACTGGACTCCCCCACTTCCATACCATATTCACTCTATGTGAAAATCTCCCTTGCTTCATAAACTCTGCCCATTAAAAAGCCCAGCCCTTGTTAGTAAGTGTTAAAGAGAGATTAATGTCTGAATTTAAGAGGTGGAGAAAGTAACAAAAAGGAGGAAGGCAGGCGAGGCTGTGGGCTGAGTGCCAGCACTGGGCTCCCAGAATTTCCACTTAGTGCGAAAGGCTGGCTGCACAGCAGTTTGATAAGGTTTATTGGGCCCAGATAAAGCGGCAGCAGCTCTACCACCAAAACTGGCACCATTTATAGCCAGAGCTATGTCCTTGGGAACCTGAAAGTCTGATGAGAACCTTCAGTTCAGAGATTTCATATGGCAGTACCCAAAACCAAGCAGGATGGAAAATTACAAGAGAAAACACTCTCCCCAGCCCCCTTTAATGTTCATACATTTGTAGTGATTTCTTTTTCCTTTTTTTTTCTTGAAGGGTATGATAAGGAAAGCTGGGACATCAGTTCTTGACAGGTCCTAAAAATAGAAGAGCCCTTACTCTGGGGAGAGGCCATGTTGGAGACAGGGGAATAGATGAGTTGACCTTTGGGTGGAATTCCATTGCTAAATCTTCCTATTCCCTCACCTACTCTTTTATTCATATACCTCCCACTGGTAGCAGCTAGTCAGAGCTCAGTTTGTGGAAGAGTAGGGTATAACAGGTTTAAGAGATCTTACAGGAAGGAGACAGTGGGAATAATAGCTCATTCTGAGCACTGACTCTGAATCATAACATATTACCTATGTTGTTTTATTTAACCCTTATAACAACCCTATTAATGCAAGTGCTATTATTTCCCCCCATTTCTGCATATGAAAAAACAGGCTCAGAGAGGTGAAGTGTGTTTACTCAAGACTATAGAACTATGAAACATCAGAGCTGAGACTTAAAATCACAGGATTCTGACTGCAAAGCTCCTGATGATCTTAAACTTCAGATTATACAGCCTCTAGCAGGATAGAAAGGGAAACAAAGGCTTTTTGTGTTTCTTCTCATACTCCACTAAGGCCAAGTCCTGTGCAGCAGCCAGCCAAGACCAGGACCAAAGAGTATACAGAATCATGCAACCAGATAAATGGATTTAGATCCATCCCTGAGGATCTCTGCACTTTTCCTCTTTCCTCAAAATCTCAGGCAGAAGTTGAGCAGGGTATTTAAACTACAATAAAACTTGAACTTAACAGATGCCCAGGAAGAAGTTTGTAGTGGTGTTTTAAACATGCTTATTGAGTGTTAATGGAATGTTGCAACTCATTTTATTCCAACTCCATTTAGAAAATAGTTTTTAATTTTAAAGGTAAACTTTCCTATCACAATAAATAAAACAAGGGTTCCTATTTTGGGGGAGAAGAAGCTACTTTGCATCTTCCCCCAAACCTTGTGATGAGTGGGGAATGACGCATTTTCAGAGAAAGAAGCAAGCAGTAAATCCCCTGAATGGAAACAAGTAGTCTCCACGACTACTGAGAACCCCAAGTAGCCACTGGAGGACACACCAGGCTGTCACATGCACTCTCAGACCTTTACCTCTCTGGGGACCCTTGGGGGAAGACACAGCAGACCTGTTGTATCCTTTTCTTATGGCAAAGGATCTTACAATGCTTCAAGGTCATCATTATAAATATGTATCATCTAGATACACATGATATCAAAAATTAGGCTGAGTCACCCTGGCTGGGTGGCTCACTTGGCTGAGCATCATCCTGTACAGCAAAAGGTTATGGGTTCAGCCTTCAGTCAGGGAAAATACCTAGGCTGAGGGTTTGATCCCTAGTCAACCAATCAATGTTTCTCTCTCTCTCTTCTTCTTCTTCTCCCCTCCCCACACCAACCCCCCACTTCATCTTTCTCTAAAATCAGTTAAAAAATATCCACGGGTGAGGTTAAGGTGAGGACTTAAAAAAAAAAAGTAAGCAGAGTCAAATTTTCCCTCAGTGTGTCGTACAGGGTGGGGCAGGTAGGTTTACCTTGTTCATATGGAAAATAATACAATAATTAATAAATAATACAAGAATAGCCCTGGCTGGTGTGGCTCAGTGGACTGAGAGACGGCTTGTGAACCAAAAGGTTGCCAGTTCAATTCCCAATCAGGGTACATGCCTGAGTTGCAGGCCGAGTCTCCAACTGGGGGTGTGCAAGAGGCAACCACACATTGATGTTTCTCTCCCTTTCTTTCTCTCTCCCTTTCCCTCTCTCTAAAAATAAATAAATAAAATCTTAAAAAAAAGAATAGACTCTTTCACATACTCACAACTGTAAACCTACTTTTGCCCCACCCTGTATGTTAATAGTTTTCTACGTTTTGTCTCTTTTTAAATGTTTAATTCTTTTATGTCACTTCCTTAGATGCCCCTCCAGAAAACAGAGGAGGGAAACAATCAGGTGTTGTGTGGGTGGATGCTGGTTAGTCGAAGCCCAGAAAACCAAATAAGAAGATTATTTCTTTGATTAGTAATTTCCATCTTGTCCCACTCCTCACCCTTCCCCCTCCCCCCAGTCCTGATTAGTGCTGTTTGTCTTTAGGGCAGAGAATGACTTTTCAAAGGGAGACAAAGAGGGGTTATTTCTTTTAGCCCTTGAGGCCTTGAGTTGCTGTGACCCCAAGATCTTTGTGATTGAGGAACAGAAAGCTTTTTCTACTCTT